AGATGTTGCTGTGAAGGGATTTGTGGATGTGATTAACATTTACAACCAGGCTGGGCAAGGTGGCTCATGCCTGTAACCCCAGCATTTTGGGAGGTCAAGGAGGGTGGATCACTTGAGGTCAGAGTTCAAGACCAGCCTGACCAACATGGCGAATCCATGTCTCTACTAAAAATACAAAAATTAGCCAGGTATGGTGGCGGGTGCCTGTAGTCCCTGCTACTAGGGAGGCTGAGGCAGGAGAATTGCTTGAACCCGGGAGGCAGAGGTTGCAGTGAGCCGAGTTTGTGCCACTGCACTCCAGCCTCAGCAACAGAGAGGCTGTCTCAAAAAACAAACAAACAAAAACGATTTACATCAGAAGACTTTAAGTAGAACATGTGACCCTGCACAATAGGGGTGGTTTCATCCAATCAGTTTAAGGCCTAAATAGCAAAGACTGAGTCTTTCCAGGAAGAAGCTATTCGGCCTCAAGGCTGCAACATAGAAACCCTGCCTGAGTTTTCAGCATGCTGGTCTGCTCACAGATTCAACTTAAGACTGTAAGATCAACTCTCATCCAAATCTACTGCCATGTGACCAGTCCTCTGGATTTCTGCCTTGCCAGGACTCACACTGCCATGAGCCCACTCCTTTAACAAAATAAATCACCCGATAGAGAGAGAGAGAGGCATAGATATATAAAAATTCTATTGGTTCTCTCTTTTTTGGAGGATCTGGATTAATAACCTTGCAATATACCACATCTTTCTGTAGTCCAGCCCAAAAACATTGACCAAGTTACCATATTATCATGGGCCAAGTGATATGGATTGAAAGAAGTCTGCTAGAAAATGGCTTCCATTTATTTCGTGCTTCCATGTCCAGGTAAAGTGAGTTAGGTCTTTTATGTCCCTTATTGTTGAAGAAAAAACTGGGTTCTTGTCATATGACCAGGAAAATTTAGGAACGTGGACACATTGTAGGGTGAGTAAGGCAGGGTTTATGGGGTGAAATGCAAAAAATGAAAGTGGTACTCTCAGCAAAGGGAGAGTCTTGTTCGCAGGCTCTCACCTTACAGGTTGCATCCCAGCCCACCACACAGGAACTGAAGAGGCCAGGCTGCTCCCCTCTACAAGCGGCGTGAACTTCTCCTGGCTCCACCCCTTGCCCAGTGCACAGTTGGGCATTATTCAGATAGAATTAGTCGGGAAAAGGCAGGCTTCATCCGGGACTAGCAGTCCGGTTTTTCAGCCTTCAGGCTGTTTTAGGCTTGAAGGCAAGGTTTCCCCAGGGACCCTTAGCTGTCTCCCGTCTCTATCATTATCTCATTTAGATCTCCCAATCAACCTCTAAAGTAGGTAGAAGTATTGGCATTTTAGAAATAAGGAATTTGAGGCTTCAGGAGACAGACAGACTTCAGTAGTAGGGTCTGCAGTGGACGCTCTTGCCAGTGATAGCTGCTGAGTCTCGATGGGAGGGAAAAGACATTGGTGAGAGAAGATGGCACCAGGTCATGGAGAGCTTTCAATGCCATGCAAAAGCAACAACAACAAAAATCATACTTGCTCTGTGACCTGTCCAGAGACAGCCCCCAAACTGGAAGCAACCCTAGCCCTCCTGCAGACAGAAGTGGAGGTGAAGTGAATGGATCCGGACAACATAAGATGATACGTATTGATGGTTCCCACATGGGGCCACCTACAAGGGAACAGCTGGCATTATGTGGAGGGGTCTTTGATGCTGAGAAAAAAAACCGAAGGAAAGTGTGGGAGAGAACAAAAGAGACTCTAGGGCTGGCCAGAGAAATCTAATGTGATTGTCATGATTTTTGCTGTAGGAGATGCAGTGCAAGGCCCTTCTTCCAAAGTAACCCATGGAGCCATCTGTTATAGCGAGAAGCAACATGTCAGGCTCATTTCTACAAACTTTCTTTGCCTGACTTCATGATGTACTCACAAACACACCCCTCTCAGTTTGGTATTGTTAGTATGAAAAATAAAAACCCACTTCACAGGTGAGGATGACAATTTTCTCAAGGTTATATGATTGCCATGGAGAGAACTGGGTTGGAAGCCTGCCTAGAATCAGAGCCAGTGTCCCTAACCACTACACTCTATTGGGCCCTCAAAAAACATTCCCACAATGTCACCAGATCAAGAAGTGTCTTTCAGCTGTGAGTGAAGAAAAATCCCTCATCAGTCAGGCCTGATCAGAAAGGCAACTCACCACCTCAGCAGGTAGAATGGGATGACGATGGACAGTTGGGGACTGCAATGGCTCCTGGCAAGACTTTGACCTCTAATTCACCCTGCAGGACCCAGCTGAGATAGCATTTCCCCCAGGAGGCCTTCAAGCTCCTAAAATGCCCTGTATTTCCCCTGTCCCAGCCCCAATCCCACTCAGCTGTCAACAGATGGTTATTTCTCTGTCAACCCACTAGCCCAGGGGCTGAGAGAAGCCGGGGACTTTGTCTTGTTCACCCATCATAGAGCCTTGAGCCCAGTGGACATTTACAAATATCAAATGCAACAAGGAGGATGTGGGGCATTTACTTCAGTTTAAAGACACAGATTTCATTTAATAATCCCAATTAAACATGGAATTTTTTCTAGAAATGGCAAAATCCTACAGCAAAATGAGTAAGATCCGTGCAAGGTCGCTGGGTGCTGAAAACTTTGCTCCTAGTCTTGCGCCATGTCATGGCAAAGGAATGTAACTCCTAGCCACGCAACGCCACACAGATTGAGGAAAGAGTCTGTCCCACACACAACTTGCAGACGTTCTATATTTTTTATGTCTACACAGATTATCTCTATCCTACTGGGTCTGGAGTGGAGGAGATACAATTCTTAGCAGCTTTGTAACAAAAGAACAGGTAGTCAGTAAAGCCAGCAATGCCCACTTTTAAGAAACAAAGAAGAAAATGAAGACAGCAGTGAAGCGTGGTGCTGGTATCAGGGGTCTCCCAGCAGCTGAGTATATAGAGAAGCAGCGGGAGTACAACCGGGAGTCCAGGGAGGGGTACAGGGGAGGGACCAAGAGGAGTGGCCAGAGCAGCAAGAGGAAGACAAGGAGCAAGGTGGCTCTGGCGAGAATGGAGCTTACCTAGACTCACCCAAGGCAGTCAGGTCGCTGGGTTCACAAGGTCGATACTGTGGGTGTAGGCCGAGTGACTGTTACACCTCTCACCTAAAAAGAAAATAACCTCACTGGCCAGGTCACATTCCTCCAGGTATTTACTGAGGGTCCACTCCATTCAGTGGTGCCTTCAGTGAATTATCAAATGCAGCCCCATCCCAAGGACACATCTCAGTCTGAGAAATAAAATACTGTCCAAGGAGCCAGGAATGGTGGCTCACGCCTGTAATCCAAGCACTTTGGGAGGCTGAGGTGGGAGGACTGCTTCAGCCCAGGAGTTTGAGACCAGCCTGAACAATAGGGCAAGATCACCGTCTCCACAAAAATTTTAAAAAATTTAGCCAGGCATGATGCTGCACACCTGGGGTACCAGCTACTGGGGAGGCTGAGGTGGGACGATCACTTGAACCCAGGAGGTTGAGGCCAGTACAATCCAGCCTGGGTGACAGGTGAGACCATCCACCAAAACAAAATAAAAAGACAACTATGGCAGGCATGAGACGGGGGTACTTCTGACACAGAGGAAGTCAAAACCACCATAGCCCAGGTGGTCAGGAACAGCTTCTCCCAGGGCATGCTATGATATATATTATCATCTCCAGTAGCAGATGAGGTAACAGGATCAGAGAGGTTAAGCAACTCACTCAAGGTCACACATCTAGGGAGTGGTAGTGACCATTTCTCACTGAGGTCTGCTGAAATACAAAAGTCACTTCACTATTTGTGACACCAATCTCTCTTTATATTGTCACCCATTTTAATTCGCATTAACTGACATCTACTTACCTGCGGCTCTCCTTACCTTCATATTCTCATAAGCGGCTAAAATACGGTGTAGATTTCATTTTAGCACATCAGGCCCCTCCCTTAAAGAATCTAAATTTTCTGTGCCCAGCAGGATTGCCCAGCCCAGAACTGAACACTTATCTCAAATTAATCTTCCAACCACACACTAAGGAAAGGAAATGGATTACTGCCATGGAGAGATTTAATTTGGGTATTTCACAAATTCTGAACTACGATTTTAAATGTAACCACTGTCCAACCAGAAACAGTAAAAACTGCTTCCCTATGAAAAGCATTCACGGGAAATTTTATTAAATGCCAAAGCATTCCAGGTTAAGACACACTGCCCGTTTTACAGGGAGTTGTTGAGATTCTGCTCCTAAGAATACCGTAGTCCTTTCCCTCTCCACTGTTAGTGCCCCGATAAGCTCAGCCAGCAAGGCCATTCGCTTTTCCTTTTGCGAGCAAACACACCAAACTACCCTCACACCCACGCACAAATCCAACGCACCCAACAGGGATATGTCAGTAGAGGGAAATGGTATCGGAGATGCAGATGGAAATCTGTGGCTACTCAGAGCACCACATTTCTGATGGCGCAGAGGGTTACCGCCCAGGGTCGCCTGTACTCCAGCAAGGTGGACGGCGGAGAGGCCCTCCTTCTCCAAACATGAGACCCTGCAGCTTGTGCGGCTACTGGACACAAATGGCCTGGACCATTCATTGCGCACGAATGCAGCAATCACAGCGCCCATTAAACGCATGTCTACTCATATGTCACATCATGACCGTCTCTCTGTCACACGTCCGAGAAAGGGTTTGTCGGACAGTTTGTTTCAATAGGGGCAATGCAGTCCTCCTTGAAAACCTTCCAGTCACTGTGTCTCCTGCTGTGTGGTGGGAGAGGAGGTGGGGAGGGAGGTGATGCCAAGGACACGGTGATTTCTGAACCCGTTGAACACTGATCCTAGCCCAAGTGTAGCCCGGCCGGCTACGAATGCCCGGGGCGTCTCGGGATCCTCTTTCTCCGCTGAAAAAAGCCACCCCCAAGCAGGGAAAGAGAACGACGCCACCCCCAGAGTGCGCGACCGCCATTCCCATACTGGGGAGATATGGATGACGGGGAAAACCACCCGCTTCCTCCGAAAGCCCCGCTGCCGGCCGGCCCAACCCAGGGATTCGAGTCCCAAGACACCCTGGCCTGTGCTAGGGACAGCCTCGGTCTCGGCCTCTCGCTCTGTCTCTCTGAAAGTCTCTCTCACACCCCCGACCCCGCTCTCAGTCTCTCCCGCGCGCTCGCTCGCTTTCCGTCTCTCTCGGGCTCTCTCACGCGCGTTCTCGCTCCGGAGCTGGTTCCCGCCGTCCAGGCGCCAGCGCGGCGCCTCGTTTCCTCTGCCCTGGAAACGCAGCGCGGCCGGCTCGGAATTGAAGGGTTAAGACAACCGGGAGGAGCTGCCCACCGGCAGGCTAGACCGGCCACAGCGCGGAAGCTGGTGTCGGTGGGGTTGAGCTGGCGTCACATGGATGCGACGGTGGCCAGAAACTGGACCTTCGATTGGCTGCCGCGAGCCGCCCGGGAGCGAATGGGTATCTATGTGAGAGCGGCTGGGTGTTTTGTCGCGAACCCCTCCGCCCAGCTCGGCTGCGACAGGAGAAGGCGTGCAGGCCGCCCTTTCCGGAGGTGTGCCGCGGCGTTCCTGGAGCGACCCTCTCGGGAGCGTGTCTCGTGAACTGGACGAATGCTTCCGGAGGGTATGGGAGAGACTCCAGGAAGCGGACGTGACTTCATAGGCAGGCGACGAGGGAACTGGGCTGGAGGCATGGGAGGAGGCCGATTTCTCCTATGATTGGCTGGGAGGTTTGCGCTAGGGTGCGCCTCTGACCTGCCGTTTCATTTTCATTATTTACTGTTTTTGCATGAGCAGTACATGCACCCTTTAAATACAAAAACTAAACAATTCAAGACATTGAAATGATTCAGGCTACTGCCGTAGGGAGAGCGCCCCAGAAGTGGAAATCACACTGTCGCAGTAAGCGTGCGGGGTGGGGGTGGGGGAGTGTGTCTTTTACTTTCATAGGAAGGAGTAGACCGGTTTTAGTGGGGAGATTTATGGGGCAGGGGTTGTTTTTGTAATCAGCGGAAGTCTCAGCCAGCTGAACAGGGAATGTTTCTCTCTGTGCCTAGCTACTTTCAGGAGGACAGACCTCCCGTCTAAGTGAATCATTCCTGAGAAAAAAGAACAAGGAGTGGTTGGGTCAGCGATCTGGAAGTCATGGCACAGAGTGGACAGACGGCATCCCTTATATAAGTCCCATGGATAATACTGGTCCTTTGTGGTCAACGATTTCCCAGAACACGAAAGTGTGCAGATATTTCTTTACCGTGGCATTTGTCAGGAGTCAAGCGACATGCAGCAGCGTTTGTCCTAGCAGATACATGGATAGTAGATTGCTTTTTAACCCTGGAAGAAGACACCCTGTGAACAGAGTTTATAGTTTTCAAAAAGTAATGTTTTTGTGGTTTAAGTGAAGGAAGGAAACATGAACCATTATCCCAGAATATTATCATCATTTCATTTTACAAATTAAGTAACTGGCCTCAGAGAGGTTAAGTAACCTTCCCAAAGTCACAGAAGATATTTAAAAAATGGTGGAGTCTCGATTTAAATCCAGGTGTCTGTGACTTCATCCCCTTCATGCTGTGCAGCCATACACTGTCATTTCCAAATCTACCTCTCCCTGAATCTATAGATTTCCTGTGCCAACTGACAACCCCACAGGCCCGTTGCACTCACCTCCTCCTATCCAGCATCCTAGGCAGTTGGAAACGACTTCCCAGAGAAGAGTGTGTTAGAGAACCTGGGTCCCAAAGGCCCTACCCCAGCCCCTGGAAGGAGAGGTGGGCTTCAAGAGGAAGATTAGAGGATTTGAAGGCAGAAGTATGTTTGTCTGAGGGACAGGCTGATAGGCCAATGTGGCACACACGTGATAATAAACACCAGTTACTTTGAATTTATGGTGTGTGTGTGTTTTTTTTTTTTTTTTTTTTAGTATTGGCAATACATGCTGAATGGTGGTGATACCCAAAGCAGATAGATAAAAATCAAGCCACTGTATGGGCAAGTTGAGACATTCCCATTTTACCTGGGAGGACCTGACAAGAAAATACCACTCTGCGGTATAAAAGAACTGTCTCCTAGACTCAACGAATGAAACAAATTAGTCATTTTTTCTAATTATTCTTATTCTCCTATTACAGATGAGGCACGGTAGGCACAAAGGGATTAGATCATCTCCTATTAGAGATGAGGCACAGTAGGCACAAAGTCATTCAAGTTATAAGTTGCTGAGTCCCATAGCAAGTACTACTCAGCATGTCCCAAAATGAACCCACCCATCCCCACTCTCGGCATGCCTGCCCCTCCTCCTGTGCTGCCGGACTCAGTGACAGGCACCACGTTCCACCCAGCAGCTTGGGCCAAAGATCTTGAAAGCCATCCTTGATTGCTGCCTGTCTCTCACCACCCCCACAGTGACTAAGCCTGGCCAGTTCGACCTCCCGGGTCTTTCTAAGTGAGATCTTTTTTTTTTTTTTAAACTTTTAAAAAAAAATTTATTTATTATACTTAAAGTTCTGGGATACACTTGCAGAACGTGCAGGTTTGTTACATAGGTATACTTGTGCCATGGTAGTTTGCTGCACCCATCAACCCATCATGTAGGTTTTAAGCCCCACATGCATTAGGTATTTGTTATAATGCTCTCCCTCCTCTTGCCCCTGCTACCCCCTGATAGGCCCTGCTGTGTGATGTTCCCCTCCCTGTGTCCATGTGTTCTCATTGTTCAACTCCCGCTTATGAGTGAGAACATGTGGTGTTTGATTTTCTGTTCCTGTGTTAGTTTGCTGAGAATGAACGTGAACTCATTCTTTTTTATGGCTGCATAGTATTCCATGGTGTATATGTGCCACATTTTCTTTATCCAGTCTATCATTGATGGACATTTGGGTTGATTCCCAGTCTTTGCTATTATAAATAGTGCTGCAGTAAACATACGTGTGCATGTGTCATTATAGTAGAATGATTTATAATCCTTTGGGTATATACCACCAACAAATCATAGCTCATCCTCTTGCCACCAGTCTTGACCCCTTCCCACGCATTCTCAGTGCCAGTGTGTGAGGCAACTTTCTTAACTCCTTATCTGGTCATGTCAAACCTTTTCAAACTCTACCAGGGCTGCCTGCTGCCCTTAGGATAAAGTCCAGCCTCCTGGACTAGGGACATCAGGCCCCGGCTACCCGCAAATGCATCCTCCGTAGCAGACCCCTCCTCCTGCTGCACCCACCCTCAGTATTCCACATTCTAGACCTCTTTCCGTTCATCAGTCAGTATTCCACATTCTAAACCTCTTTCTGTTCATCAGTCGACCAATGCTTGTGGACTGTCTAGCATGCGCACTCATTCTCTTGCTCTCTCTGTCCACCGCCTCACACCCGCCCTTCCCTCTGTCTGGCCTGCACTTGCTCCCTCCCCCTCTGCCTGATTCCTCCTTGCCTTCAGCTATCAAGTGAAGGAGAGCAAATTCTACTTCACCTAGGGAGCAACTGGATGAAAAGGCACGCTTAGTGGGTTCGATATTTTTACTGAATAGTACATGATGGGGATTCATGAAAATTCCCCCAATGGGCCAACCAACTGGAATGTCACATGAGAGTAGGGTTTTTGGGAAAAGTTTACTTGCAAAAATAGGATGCAGGAAGGTAACTGAGGAAGGTGACAGGTTCATTTGCCTGACTATAGCAACCTTCACTGTGTGTGTATAGCAGCATGTTTTATACTTCAAATATATACAATAAAACGAAAAAAATTAAAGATACACAACATAGATCTCCCCTTTATTTCTATGGACTCATCGTTATGTGTGAATATGGAAGTTGGAATTGTGGCCCCAGGTTTGGTATGAAGGGATGCAGGCTGAGGACCTGCCTCACATCTGGTTCTTCTTGCCACAGAGTGGCATGTGAGGATTAACTTTGTTCACTACAGCATGTTATTTCGATTCCCAGCATGGGAATACCTGATTATGAACGGGAGCATCTACTTTGGACATGTGGACAATGAAAGAGAAAAGGTGGGAATGGCACTGGTCCTGCCACCATCAGCCCAAGCCCCAAGCCTGGCTGGAGGGTAGACTGGACTCCCACTGTCCCAGCACGCTGGCCTGCACGCTGATGTACCCCTAACATGGCACAGTGTGAATGGCTCTTCCTGGAGCCTGGCTGTTGAGGACCTACTGTGTGCTACTCACGTACAGTGTTGATTTCCCAAAGACCCAGAGAGGTAAGTATTAAACTCCCATCTACAGATAAGGAACCAAGCTGAAAGAGGTCAGGGCACTGAGGCAGAAAAGGCTGGATCTGGGACTCACATGCGGGCTCTGTCAGACTCCAAAGCCAGGCATCTTTAAACTCACGACAACATACTTTGCTTATGCTCCCCTTGCTGAGCTGCAGATATTATTCCATGATGGGACAGTCAGCCTGGTCCCAACACCATGTCCACCTGTGAGATCCAGGCCCCTGGCAGGGCAAAGCCACCCTGAAAAGCTCTAACACAGTCCACAGGAGCTGCCCTGGAGTCCGTTGCCTCACAGCTACCAGTCGAGTTTAGCTTCTAGCTCTCCCCCAGGAGGCGCTTTGCCCTATCACAGAGACACTTGCAATCCACCCCTGCCCTAAATTACGTCTCAGTCAGCCTCACTTTATTTAACAGATAAGAATCTAGAGGCAAACAGAGCAGAGGCAGCGTTAGTGGCTGCAGCACAGCTGTGGAGTTGATCAGACTCCAAATGTGGTGTGGAAATCAACAGGCTGAGAATGGGAATCTGGTTCCTCCTGTTCTTCGGCTCTCTGGACTGTAAGCTGTGCAGAATCAAAGTGCCTGCCGCAAAACCTCCCCTCTTCTGAAGAGTCTGTCCTGACCCAACCCTTGCGCACACACATCCCTCAGGTGAGGGTGGGGAGCTCTCCTGTGTGCTCCTAGGAGACTGTGGGTTGAATTCTGCCATGACTCTCCTTACCATCCCCACCCCAGTGTGGGGGTCATCTGCCAGCAAGGGTGGAAAAGCATCCCCCTGTCCCCAGAGTGTCCGGTCAGCACTCAGAACGAGTTTATTTGGTTAATAAAGGAATTTCACCCAGGGTACTTGGTTAGTAGTGGTTATGATGGTAGCAGCTCTGTTACCAGAGCAGAAATGCTCCAGGAGAATCGAGTGAACAGAGGACATCTGTGCAATGAGATTCTCTTCCCCTGGAGTCAGGGAGGAGGGTTGTAACTTTCCTCTCTTCCTTAATTCTGGAACTCCTAGTAAAAGAGGCTACAAAATTATTTATTTATTTGGGATAGAGACTAGCTCTGTCACCTAGGCTGGAATGCAGTGACACAGTCTCAGCTGACTGCATCCTCCACCTCCTGGGATCAAGTGATTCTCCTGCCTCAGCCACCCAAGTAGCTGGGATTACAGGCGTGCGTCACTGCACCCGGGATTTTTTTTTTTTTTTTTGTATTTTTAGTAGAGACAAGGCTTCACCATATTGGCCAGGCTGTTCTCGAACTCCTGACGTCAAGTGATTTGCCCTCCCAAAGTCCTGGGATTACAGGCGTGAGCCACCGCAACCTGCCAGAATTTTTAAATATGTCTTGGCCAGTGTGTTACTCCATCAGGCTCGGCTGTGGCCTCCCAGTGGGACTGCAGTGATGGGTTCACCAAATTCTCATAGTACCCTAGGGCAAGTGCATGTGGGCCTCCCCCAGGGTCTGTAGGGAAAAACGACTATTGATTGGGTTCAGGCAGCCTAATTGAGTATGTGGTTCTGTGGCTGCAACACAGATATCCCTGGTGACAAAGACATAAACACCTGGATGAACGCGTCTGTCAAGTCCGGGTGGGCTACACCAGTGCCCTTGCCTGTCGTATCTCGTTGCCTAAGCCCTCCTGGTTCTGACTGCTCCTGCCTGGGTCCCTCCGTCGCCTGAACTCTGCAGGCTGCACAGACATGCTTTCGGCATCTGTGGCCCTTCATTGTCCCTTTCCGTGTTACTGGCAGAGCAGAAGATTACCTGGCCTGACAGGATGCTGTCCCTGTCACCGTGGCACCTCTAGCCTTCTGTTCAGCTTCCTGCTGGTGCGCTAGTGTCCTTGTGGCGTCTGTGCTATGTTGGGCCAACTTGGCCTCTGACTTTTTTTTTTTCCAACTGTCCCTTCTGTCTGGAAGGCCTTCACCACAGATAATCTGCTTGACTGACTCCTTCCCCTTCACATCTCTGTCAAATTGTCACCTTCTCAACCCAGCCTACCCTGGTCACTCTGTGTCATAATTTACCTTCAGCTAATCAAGTTCCTCCCCCAATTCACAGTCCCTGTACCACGATCTGTATATTTTTTCTTTTTTATCACAGCCCCCATCACCTTTGTAAACTAAAAATAAAATTCTAAGCCGCACTCCCCAATCATCTGAATGGACCCTCTTGGCCAAAGCTACTCCAAAGTTAGCCTGAAAAAGTAGTTCAGGCCATGATGGGAAGGGTGGGTCAGACTTGTGTCATTACACGCTTCTCCCTATGGAATTCAGGCACAACTGACCAGCATTTATGTTAAGGCAGAGATCTTAAGACTGTGGCAATAAGACACCAAGTTCCAGCCTGACTAGTATAGCATCACATGACAAATAGGCCCTGAAAGAAGTCAAAATATTTCACCCAACAATATATTTCTTTGATACATTTTGAAATAGGCCTACAAAGCCACCTCTTGTGAGGAAGTCTACATTCTGTAGAGAATCCCTTTCCCTTTCCAAGTCTTTTTCCTGGTCTAGGAGAGAATTAGCCAAGAGTCCAGCAACTTTTAAGGTCTGATAAGAAACATTTACAGTCTATTCCCTCTGAAGCCTGCTACCTCGGGACTTCATTGGCATAATAAGAACCTTGGTCTCCAAAACCCCTGATCTTAACCCAG